GCGGGCCGGGCGGGCGCAGCGCGGCGGAGGCCGGAGGAGCTGAGCCGGAGCCCCAGCCAGAGCGCGGCCGCCGCCTGCCGGGCCTCCCCGCGCCGCGGCCGGCCCCGCGCTCCCGCCCGGGCGCCCAGCTATGTACTCCCCGTACTGCCTCACCCAGGTACCGGCCGCCGCCCCCGCGCGACCAGCCCGGGAGGGGAGCGGGCGGGCGGGCGGGCCGAGGGGCGCGCGGCGGCCGGGGGTAGTGAGCCCGCGGGCGACCGAGGGGTGCAAGTCGTGCCGTGGGGAGCTCCGGCTGTGCTGGCAGCACCGTGCGCGGGCGACCCTGGCTCCTGAGCGGACTCCCACTGGGGGTCCCCGGGGGTGGTCGGCTGCGTGCGTGGCGCTGCCCGCGGAGCGCGGAGCGGGAGTGCGTGTGGGTGCGCGCGCGCGCGCGCTCGACTGGGGTGCGGTGGACCCCCAGCGACCTGTGGGCGACTGTGGCTTGCACCCGGGCAGCGTGTTTGCGGGGTGACAGAGTGACAGTGGGTAGTCCCGAGGGCGCATAGTGGGGACTGGGTCCCGCGGCGCTCCCTGGGGCGGACGCAGCTGTTCCCGAGGGTGGCAGCGACCGGCGTGCGTGGCGGCGGTCCCTGCGTGCGGCCGGGGTGCCCGGGGCGGGCCGAGCGGCCCGGGCGTCGCCCCAAAGTCTTTGTTCAGGCCTCACATGGGATCGGGGCTAAGAAAATGGCGGGGCTCCCAAATTTCCGAGGGGCAGGGGAGGGAAGGGAGGGACGGGCGCGCTGCCAGCCGGGGCCGCGCCTCTCTGCCGACCCTGGACGCTGCAGCCGTGTCTCCCCCCTCCCAAACTTTCCTCGGCGCAAACTTTCGGGCCCCAGCTATCCCGGCCGCTGAGAGGTGGACCGAGCCGGCCAGGGGAATCCCGTCCCGCCGCCCGGAGGCGGGAGAGGCGGGAGGCAGCTGTGGACGCCGCCGACAGTGCTGCGGCCACGCCGTCGGGTCGGCAGCGGGCACAACATCGTCAACCTTGGCGCGCTGGGAGAGTGCGTCCCGCCTCCAGCGAAGTTCCCCGAGCGGCGCTCAGCGTTCCGTGGCGGCTAAGGCCCCGGGAATGCTTGCCCTGCCACCCCTTTCCCGGACAGTGGCCCTAGGCTCCAGGGGAGCACAGGAACTGCCCAGAGTCCGGCAGTGGCCCTGGTAGCACTAGCACTGGCTGCAGGGCCAGGCCACGGCTGGTAACAGACTCTGCAGAGCCGACACCTGGAGGCTGCCTAGTCCNGGGTATGTGTGTGAGCATGGGGGCATGTAGACGGATGTGGTGTGTGAGTGTATAAGGAAGCAAGCTGTGTGTGTGTGTGTACATGGGAGGGTGTTCTGGTGTGACTGTGTGTACATGGAAGGACGGGTGGTATGTGTTTGTGAGTATGTATGTGTGAATGGAAGGATGTGTATAAGTGGAAGGTTGTGTCCTGTGTGTGTGTGTGTGTGTGTCTGTCTGGAAGGATGGGTGTTTTTTTTGGTATCTTTCTGAATGGAAGTATGGGTGTTGTGTACATACGTCTGGATGTTGTATGTGCATGTGACTGTCTGAATGGAAGGAGGGTGTCCTATGTATATGTGTGTGTCTGGATATTGTGTGTGTATGTTTGTGCATGCATGTGCACATCTATCTGAATAGAAGGATGGGTATGTTATGTGTGTGTGTCTGGATGTTGTGTGTGTATGTCTGTCTGTCTGAATGGGAAGATGTATGTTCTGTGTGTGCGTGTCTGTCTGAATGGACGGATGGGCATCCTGTGCATGTGTGTATGAACAGAGGGGTGACTGTTGTGGTGTGACTATGGGTGAGGTGGGCATGGGATGCTGCCTGATGTAGGGCCCAGGTTTGGGGCCGATACAGGAGGAGGAGGGCCAGGCTGCAGCCCTAGGTGTGGCATGGCTGGAGGACAGGCCAGGAGTGCGGTGGGACTGGGCCCAAGGTGGAGGGGCTCCTGTGGGTGCGCCCCTTGTTGCATGTTTGCAGAGTAGCAAGGAGGGTCCTCCTAGATCTCAAGATCTCCTCAGGCCGCCAGCTACATTAAAGGTACCAGACCCCCCCAAGCCCCCACCATTTCTTCCTGAGCCATCCTGGCCCCCACCCCTTGGTCCCCAAATGCCTTTGCTGACCCTTCCCTGAGCCCCTCATAGACCCCAGACCCCTCTTGCACTCCCTCCTGGTCCCCTTGTAGCCCCACCCCTCCCCTTGGTGCCCCCCTCTCCATGCCCCCTCCTCCTGCAGCCGTGGCAGTGGCCCTGAAACTGTAAACGGTGTTAAAAGTTTCTGTTTACGAGAAGCCCTTGAATTTTTAAGGACGTATCGATTCCCTGTGCCACGGCCTTGCCACAGCAGCGGCTGTGGTGCAGGGAAAGCCATGTGGGACCTGTGAGATCCCAGGGTCAGAGCCCCCCAAGCAGGGAGTAACAGATGCACATGTACCCAGACACACACTCAGGTGTGCAGAGCCCCCTCCCTGACTGGCACGTGTACACACACACCTAGTCCACACACCTACACAACCTGATACACACTCACAGACCCACACGCCTGAAAAGACACCAAGCCCCCCTCCTGACACACACATGCACGTGTGTACATACACTCGGATACGCACAGATCCCTCATCCTGCCGCACACCCTTAGGGATCACCCCAAAGAGAGCAGCACACTCCTAGTGACACCCCATGTACACTTTCTGCCACATACAGTCTGATCACAGACTGACCCACTGACCCTTGCACACGTGCCTACTTGGTCACACACACTCCACACTCCATGACACATGCAGAGACCCATATGCCTGCCACACATACGCAAGTCTGTCACACACACTGATACTGTCTCACAAAAAAGACCCTCAGAGCCGATGCACGTACTGTGGTCAGCTGGAAACACACGCGTTCATCCACACAGCCACATCCCAATGCTTCCTGTCAAACCCAGACCCTGTCTACATTTGACTCCCACTAGAATATCAGCCTCCACCCCACTGCAGGGTCTTTAGTCTTGTTCCCATGTCACCAGCTCCCAGGTACCCCAGCCAGACCTGTATCACTGCTACACAATACTGGTCCACACACAGACTCCTGAATGTACACTGACCTCTTTTCCCGATTAGGACCCAGACCCACCCACACAGACACCCAATACACAACTCCAGCCCCCTGCCTCAGTGGTGTAATGTGAACAGGAACACACCCCCTAGGGACATTTTCACACACACATACACACACACACCCTTTTCGCCTGCTTGCAGGGCCCCAATGAGCATAGCCACAGCAGCCTCTGTATACACACACACACAGGCACCAACACCCCTCCGACAGACAATGCATAGCTGAGAATTGCCACAGCCTCTTGGCCCAGGAGGGCAAGAAGTTGCTAGCTGCACCTGGCAGCAGGAGAGAGCTTTGTCTCGACAGGAGCTGCCTGGGGGCTGTGGGCACCACTTCCCCACCCACCCTGGGGGTCACCCAAGAGTTTTCCCTGCCCGCATACTGAGTGTACACTCTGGAAATAGGGGGTCAGTGGGCTGTATGAGGGACTGGAGCTGCACTTAGGTACATGTACCTAAGGCCTCCATGACCCTGTCTGTCTTTGTGAGTTGGGCTGTGTGGCCCCTACTAGATCCATGTATGTTCATGATCAGGGCCAAGTACAAGTGTGTGTGTGTGCGTGTGTGTGTGCCCGCGCGCAGGCATGCACTGTTTTCAGAGGGGTGGGAATGGCCTGGGTGTATATGTGTGATACCCATGTACATGGCTGGGAGATTCTCTGAGAGGGATTGTCAGTTGACTGGGTATCAGAACTGTTGGTCAGTGTACCCGAGGCTCAAGAGTACGGGCTTCAGGTATGTGGTGTGTATGCTCATGTGTTGTCCTAACTGCCAGTGTCACTTGGTGTTGGTGATAGTTTGTATCTTTGTATCAGGGCCAGTGTGCTGTGTTGTTTGGCACTTATGTCCAGGTGTCTGATGGTGTGTGTTTGTATGATGGTGTGCATCTCCTTTTTATCAGTGTCATTCTGTGTGCCCAGGTGTGTATTGCCACAACTGCCAAGACATTTTGGTACAGCTTTGTGTGTGTGCCATGTCTGTTTGGGCATGTATGTACAGAAGTTGTATGGAGCACGTCAGGGTGTGGTTGTGCAATCATGCCTGTGTCAGTGTGTCAGTCTGAACCTGTACACGTCAGCATGCATCACTGTGTGTGTGTCTTGGTGTGTATTAGTAGTGTGTGTCCGTGTGAGGTCTCATTGGCATGTGTCTGTGTGTATCTGGGTGTTTAAACATGGTTCGTTGCTGGAATGCGTGTGTGTCGGTATCATGTGATGGTGGGCATGTCCTGTGTGGGTCGTGGGCTGGTTTCCTGGTCTTGGTGTGTGTGCACGTGTGTGGGTTGTGTGTCTGCCGTATGCGGGGAGATATCGGCGTGTGCTTTGTTGTCGACGCGTGAATCGTGTGGCAATGCATTCTGTACGTGACGTGTGGCGGGGTCCGAGCCCCGCTGGGAGTGAGCGTGTGCCTGTGCTGGAACGCGGGCCAGCACGTGTCGGGGTGGCTGTGGCGGTGTGCGCCCCCGCACGCGCGCGTGTGTGTGCATGTGTGTGTGTGCGTGCGTGCGTGCGTGTGTGTGTGTGTGTGTGTGCGCGCCGGCCGCCGCTCCCCCGCGCGCCCGCCCCTCCCCGCGCCCCTCCTCCCGCCCGCGCCGCCCGCCCGCTCCCTCTCCCCGGAGTGCGCCGCTTCCAAACTTTGTCTAAACTTTCACTTTCACAGCGCGGCGGCGGCGGCGGCGGCGGCGGCGGCGGCGGCGGGCGAGGGTGACCGGCCGAGCGGCGGCGGCATGGAGTAGACGCGCGGCGGCGGCGGCGGCGGCGGCGGCGGCGGACGCAGGAGGCAGCGGCGAGCGCGGCGGCGGCGGCGGCCCCGGAGCCGGCGGGGCCGAGCCTGCGAGCGGCGAGCGCGGGGCCGCGGGCCGGGCGGGCGCAGCGCGGCGGAGGCCGGAGGAGCTGAGCCGGAGCCCCAGCCAGAGCGCGGCCGCCGCCTGCCGGGCCTCCCCGCGCCGCGGCCGGCCCCGCGCTCCCGCCCGGGCGCCCAGCTATGTACTCCCCGTACTGCCTCACCCAGGTACCGGCCGCCGCCCCCGCGCGACCAGCCCGGGAGGGGAGCGGGCGGGCGGGCGGGCCGAGGGGCGCGCGGCGGCCGGGGGTAGTGAGCCCGCGGGCGACCGAGGGGTGCAAGTCGTGCCGTGGGGAGCTCCGGCTGTGCTGGCAGCACCGTGCGCGGGCGACCCTGGCTCCTGAGCGGACTCCCACTGGGGGTCCCCGGGGGTGGTCGGCTGCGTGCGTGGCGCTGCCCGCGGAGCGCGGAGCGGGAGTGCGTGTGGGTGCGCGCGCGCGCGCGCTCGACTGGGGTGCGGTGGACCCCCAGCGACCTGTGGGCGACTGTGGCTTGCACCCGGGCAGCGTGTTTGCGGGGTGACAGAGTGACAGTGGGTAGTCCCGAGGGCGCATAGTGGGGACTGGGTCCCGCGGCGCTCCCTGGGGCGGACGCAGCTGTTCCCGAGGGTGGCAGCGACCGGCGTGCGTGGCGGCGGTCCCTGCGTGCGGCCGGGGTGCCCGGGGCGGGCCGAGCGGCCCGGGCGTCGCCCCAAAGTCTTTGTTCAGGCCTCACATGGGATCGGGGCTAAGAAAATGGCGGGGCTCCCAAATTTCCGAGGGGCAGGGGAGGGAAGGGAGGGACGGGCGCGCTGCCAGCCGGGGCCGCGCCTCTCTGCCGACCCTGGACGCTGCAGCCGTGTCTCCCCCCTCCCAAACTTTCCTCGGCGCAAACTTTCGGGCCCCAGCTATCCCGGCCGCTGAGAGGTGGACCGAGCCGGCCAGGGGAATCCCGTCCCGCCGCCCGGAGGCGGGAGAGGCGGGAGGCAGCTGTGGACGCCGCCGACAGTGCTGCGGCCACGCCGTCGGGTCGGCAGCGGGCACAACATCGTCAACCTTGGCGCGCTGGGAGAGTGCGTCCCGCCTCCAGCGAAGTTCCCCGAGCGGCGCTCAGCGTTCCGTGGCAGCTAAGGCCCCGGGAATGCTTGCCCTGCCACCCCTTTCCCGGACAGTGGCCCTAGGCTCCAGGGGAGCACAGGAACTGCCCAGAGTCCGGCAGTGGCCCTGGTAGCACTAGCACTGGCTGCAGGGCCAGGCCACGGCTGGTAACAGACTCTGCAGAGCCGACACCTGGAGGCTGCCTAGTCCTGCCTTCCAGCAGGGCCTGCCATGTGAGAAGAGAGTCTCTAGGCCAGGCCTGGGGTCCTAATTGTCCCCTCTGCCCAGCGTGAGCCCTCTCAGCCATATGCCAAGTGTGCCACAGCTGGGAGTGGGTGTCCCTGTGAATATGGCTGCTGCTGGGTGTGGTGAGGGGCAAGAGGGTAGTATGACAGGGGCATGTGTCAGCCACGGCCACGCCACACTTGCTTACCCACAGATACAAGTGTGTGTGTGTGAGTCAATTTTGGGTCTATGTGTGGCCCCTTTTGGCCACCTGTGAGCAGGCTTGCACGGCATGGACATATGTGTGGCCCAGGGAGCAGGATTTCCTGCACAAAAGGGGGTGTGGATGTGTGTTGGCAAGGTACACATGCACTCATATGTGTCACTGTACATGCAGGTGTGAGCAGGCACTTTGGCCGCTGTGGCAGGGTGGGGGATCCTCATATCTGTGCCTCTGACTGGCCAAGCAGTCCATCGTGGGCTCCTGCACAACCCTGCCCCCCTAGGTAGCTTTGGGGTTATGTTTGGTTGGACTGCTTGCTGGTCTTGGGAGCCTACTTGGGATCAAAACCCCATGCTCCAGCAGCCTTTTGCCCACAAGCAACCTGCCGGGCTCGCTGGCTTGCCCCTCGAGGCCTGGGTGAGACTCCAGTCCCTCGGATGTCACAGAACCTTGGGAAAGAAAACGCCAGCCTTGATGACAGGACTCGGAAGAGGTTGGGGCAGCCCCCATTCTCAGGGAGACAGCCAGACTTGATTCTGACACCCCAGAAGGGAGCAAGGGCTCGGCTCCGGGTTGTAGGCCTGTGGTGCCAGGGCAGCTGCGGAGGGGAGCGGGCATGATCTCACTGGGTAGCACCCCCAGCTTTGGGCAAGCAGCTACTGTTGTCAGGTCAGAAGGGTTTGGCCTGCCCCTCCAGAGAGCCACATCTCCTGAATTCAGAGTCTCTGTTTTTACAAATCTTTCTGCTTCCATAGTTCACCCTGCCAGTCTGTCTTTTTCTCTCCCTGTCTCTGGCTTCCTCTGCCCCTTTCCATCTCTCTCTCTCTGTCTCTGCCTTTCTCTGTCTTTGACTCTCCCTGTCTCTCCTTGTCCCTGTCCCTGACTCTGGTTCTGGCCCCATCTCTGCTGCCCCCTCCCACTGTGTCTCGGACTCTGTCTCTCTCTGGCCTGCATCTCTCTCTCTCTCTCTCCCTCTCCCTCTCCCTTTTCTTTTTTTCAAACCAGAATTGGCTTCGATTTTAAAGTCAATAAATGATTGAGCAGGAATGAGCTTGGAGCAGCGGGGCCCTGGCGGGGAAAGGCACTGTGGGCGAGGGGGAAGGGCGGGGGGAAAAATCTCCTTCTGGAAAAAGCATCGAAATCCAGGGCGGCTGGGCGGGGCGCTTGCTAGAGCTGTTTGCGTCCACTGCAGCCGCAGGCCTGAGTCCTAGGCAGAGAGGAGCGGGTGGATGGATGGGGACACCCACCCCCTCCAGAAACAGACACACACAGAAGTGTGGACACATGTTCACCACTGCCGTCCCCAATATGGAGACATAAGTGATGTTCTCACACTGATGTCCAGACACATGGCCATTAATGGACCTATGGACATAGGAAACAGTGGCCCTGCGTTCCTCCTGGACTCTTGTGTGCACACACACACACACACACACACACACACACACACACACCCGCACCTTGAGACGTGACGTGTGTATTGACGGGCTCATGGAGACAAAGACTGATACAGGCTTTCTCGAGTGTGTGTTCACCCCTGCACTTGCTCACATAGACCCAAGGATGGATGGACGGATGGACAGACACACACCTTTGCACAAGACATCAACGCTGTTGGCTCACCTGGATGTACACAGACATTCATGCACGCCGAGATTCTCTACTGCATGGCCACACAAGCAGAATGTCCATGCATACTGCAGAATGTTGCTGTGCCGCCATACACACAATCCTTCCAGGGTTGAGGGATGGGTTGGGGCCTCCCTGTTGCCTCTCCCTTCCCCCCAGCTCTCTCCCTGGGTCACTTTGGCCACCCCTCTGTCCCCGTGAAGCTGTTGCTCCCTGTCCTGGGACCAATGTAGGGTCCTCTTCTTATGGTGCATTTTCTCTCTGGCTCTGGTACTGCCTGCTTCATGCCCACCTCTGGGGTGGGAGCAGTATGCAGGTATGAGCTGGGATGCTGTGGGCCACGCTTAGGGATGGGCTCCATGAGATGCTTTGAGGTTGGGCCAGGTGCTCCGGGCTGAGGGCTCCCCTGGATTAGTTAGGGAGACAGGGTGCTCCCTTCTCCCAGGGGTCCTGGCCCAGCCGGGAATATCTCATGTGACTTCAAGGGCTCCAAAACAAGGCTGTGGGACCAGAGGTGGAGAAGTGAGCTTTGCCATAAGGCCGAGCAGAGTTTGAGCTCTATGTCTGCACCTTCTAAGCCTGTGACCTGAAGCACAGGATTTTCCTGATCTGTAAAATGGGCAATAATGGTGCCTACCTCTCAGTCTGGGATTAGACTCAGCACAGCACCTGGCATGTGACATGCTCAAGAAATGGAATGACTTGTCATTTTGGTTCTGATCCTAAAGCCACCCCCAGGCCCTCCCAACTGATAGCAGGCTGTTTCGGAGGGGTGGAAGGCAGGGCAGAGCACTTCCCAACCCTAGAATTCCAAGTGGGCTGCCTGGACGAGGAAGTAAGAGAAGAGTTTGGAAGGAGAGAGGCCAGCTTGTGGACCAGCTCTTTTCCCCGGCAGACAGTTGTGAGGGGTAGTGGTGAGAGTGGGGGTCCTGTAGGCCAAGAAGAGGGTGGCAGGGGTTCAGGGCAGGCAGAGATGATGGCGGGGGCCTAGGGAGCAGGAGGCGGGGAGCCAAGGCCTGGGTTGCCCCGTGGGGAGCAGATGCTGTGACCTTGGCCAGGCCTGCTCTGGCGCCGGCTCTGAGTGAGGCCTTTGCGCTGGAGTGTGCTGGAGTGTGTGTGCACATGAGTTGCCCCAGTGTGAGTGGGGTAAAGAGCCTGGGGGTGGGGGGATGGGTCCTAATGATGGCTTCAGGGATGTCCCCATGGCTCCAGAGCCATTTCTACATCTGCAACTGTGTGTTGTCACCTGGACCTGGACTCATGTGCAGGACCCTAGGCTGGTGCTTGGCAGGGTCAGGCAGGTGTGTGCCGGGGATGGGCATGCAGCTGTGGCTGCCAGCAAAATCCTCCTGGTGGTCAGTGTCTCACTGCTGGGCCTCCATGTCCAGCCCGCTGGGTGCGTGGCCTTTTTTGTCTTCTTGGTCCCTGTCCTCTCTGCTCTTGAGCTTGAGTTGGGGGTCTCACACCTCCTTTCAGCTGGACCAAGAGAGGCAGAGGAGACAGGGACATCTGCGCATTCCTCCAATGCAGCGCTGAGGATAGGGCCCCTGTCCACCCAGTTGGGGTGGGGGGGGAAGGGACATATCTTCATTTTCCTGTCCCCAAAATCCCAGTTGTGGAGGTAAAGGAGTCAGGGGAATAGCTGTGAGCAGCTAGGGTTCTCCCAGATCTGGATGCGTGTCCATGGCATGTTGGGCTTTACACCCACCATTTTCCCACAGACGGCCATGCGGCTACACATGTCAATGTGGGTCCCTTTCCAAGTGTCCCTGTGTCTCCGAGTGTCTGTCACTAGGTACTGCCTCTGTCTGCAAGGGTCATCCTAAGCTCTGTCTCTCTGTATTTGGGTGACAGTGGGGCCAGGCATGTGTGTTAGGTGCCTGATGTCTTTGTGTCGTGGTGCTGCCATTGTGTGTCACAGTGCAACCTGGTGTATCCTGTGCACCAGGGTTTTTTTTTTTTTTTTTTTTTTGCAGCAAGGGTTGTATCAGTGTCACCATGTGTCTCTACTTGTG